CCTGTCAGAATGGCTGTTATCAAAAAGTCAAAAAACAATAGATGCTGGCATGAATGCAGAGAGAAAGGAATGCTTATACACTGTTGGTGGGACTACAAACTAGTGCAACCTCTATGGAAAATAGTATGGAGACTTCTCATGAACTATAAGTAGACTTACCATATGATCCAGTAATCCCACTACTGGGTATCTACCCAGAAATCATTTTATCAAAAAGACACCTGAACTTGAATGTTTATTAAAGCACAATTCACAATCGCAAAAATGTAGAATCAATCTAAATGCCCTTCAATTCATGAGTGGATTAACAAAATGTGCTATATGTAAACCATGGAGTACTACTCAGCCATAAAAAGAAATGAATTAATGTCCTTTGCAGCAATATAAATGGAACTGGAGACCGTTATCCTAAGTGAAGTATCTCAGGAATGGAAAAACAAACACCACATGTACTCTCTAATAAATTGGAACTAATTGATGGGCACACATGAGCACAGAGGGAAGTAAAGTCACTGGAAATCAAGAAGGGGAGAGTGGGGAGGCAGGGAGGGTAAAAAGCTATCTAACACCTAATGAGTACAATGAACACTATTTGGGTGATGGGCATAATAATAGCCCTGACTCAAGCATTATACAAGTTATCCATGTAGCAAAAACATTTGTACCCCCTTAATATTTTGAAATAAAAAATGAAAGATTAAACATTTCTTTGTGCAAGAGAGAGTGCTCAGTACGACATAGCTGTTATCATATTTACTTATGATTCTTACCCCTCTTTCCCCATCTTACATATGAGAAAACTGAGGCTCCAAACGATTAAGTAATTTGGCCACGATGCCACAGCTGCTCACTAACAGACCCGGGATTTAGAGCCAGGTCTTTCTCCTACATAACCCATGCTCTTAACAACTCTTACCAGAGAGTTTCATATGCCTGTGGCCCTCCTCCCTGCCCATAAAGGAACTCAGTTCCTTTCAGATCAATACCTGGAGTGATGTGGCCTCTTAAATATCTTGTGTCAATTCCAGTGCCTGCTAGACTAAGGCATGGGAATCTTCTGCTCCAATTCTTAGATTATCTGGCTTTGCTAGAGTTAGAGGAGTGTTCTTTGTGCAAGTATTGTATACTCTCCCACATTTGCTGCAACCCAGGGACCCTCCACTCTCCACCCATTTGCAAGGCTTTCTCTGTGGTGACTGTGTATCTAAGGGGCCAAGTTCTCCTCCCTTCTTAATCTGCAGCAGTACTGAAAATTGAAACCCGTAGTCTCTAAAATGCATGTAAACGCAAGGAACTGAAGGATACTGTGAGGTGGGCACAGATCTCAACTCTAGCTAGTTCAGATGATTTCTGGCCAAAATGGGCTTGGTTTTCTAGACAATGTAGCTCCTATGTTCCAAGTTAGAGCCAGTGACTGATGAGGCTTTTCCCTGCCTACTCTGGTTCAACGAATCAAATGATGGATTTTGGCACAAGGTTTCCTCTTATCTTTAGTTTCTCGTACTGTTGCAGTCTTTGTGGGTATTTTCACATGAAGTTGGGAATGAATAAATCAGATACTGTTAATCTGTGGTTATGTTTAGTGCATTTAATGAACATCTGTATCATGCAATAGTTTTGAGATCAGTGTTAGATTCATTCTTACATATACGGACTGCCCCCATGTATGATTTAGGGGTCGACCTAGTGAAGCTAGGTTTCTTTCCATGATATAACACTTCCTAGACCCTTTCCTTGGATGTAGGGAGTTCCCACAATAAGAACCCTATGGATTTGTAAAACGGTCATAGGACAATTTTTAAATGAATTTTTTTTAAAGCACTGTGCTAAAAAATGGTAGTACTAGAAAGAGATTATTAAGGTGAGCTGAAGTGTTTTTCTGTTTGTGAGATGTGATTGAGCAGGCTGAAAGAGCCAGGTCAAAGTGACCCAACAGGTTTTGCTGATCTTGGGAACTGTACAGAAAAAAAACTCTTTGCACACTGTGAATTGTGGAAGTGCATCATTTCTTGCCTCGATAAAGCTGAGTTAAGGACATTATAAAATGCTACCTGATTTTTTTTCCCTTTCAGAAGCATCCAAGTTATTTTCTTTTTTACCTCTACGGCCAAAGCTACTATGGATGGAGAGAGCTAATAAATACATCAAAAGTATTAAATGCACAACTGCAAATCCCAAGCTATATTAAGTGCCCCTCCTTTGTGTCTTCATGTCACCCATTGGGATGGTTAGTTTTATGTGTCAACATAAAGTCATCATGTTCTATGTATGTGTTTATATAACATTATCGATTGACTTTAAGTAAAGAAAAATTCCCTCAATAATGCAGGTGGGCCTCATCCAATTAGTTGGAAAGCTTTAAGAGCAAAATCTGAAGTCTGCAGAGAAAGAATTCTGCCTCAAGACTACAATAGACACCCTATCTGTATTTCCAGCCTGCTGGCTTGCCCTACAAATCTTGACTTGCCAGTCCCACAATTAACATGAGTAAATTCATTCAAATAAATCTCTAAATATATGTATTTCCTATTGAATCTGCTTCTCTGGAGAACCCTGATATACTCCCTTATATTCTAAAATACTTGACTTGGGTCTTGTCCCTACTTAACTGTATGCCCAAGGATGTGGATTATGTCTTATGTGTCTTTGTATCCTCAAATTCCAGCAGAGTGCTTCTCAGACTGCAGGTATTCAATATTTGTTGAACTAATGGGTGAACAGAACAATCCCCTTCATGAAGTACTGTCAAATCAGGAGATAGGTGACAGCTGAGGCAGGGATGATTAATAAGGCCAGGAACTAGGGATCCCAGGCAAAACTAAGCTGGAAAACAAATGACTCAACTCCTGTAAAAAGCCAGAAATACAGGGAGCAAGGAAACCCGAAGGCCTAGAAATTAAAATTCGGGAGTTTTTAGTGTTATATCCACAGCCCACTAAAAAAAGGTCAGCTGAATTTGAATCTCATAGTCACGTGACCTTTGGCATGTTGTTTCACCATTTGGGGCTCAGGGTGGCTGACTGATTTCGTCTAATATATTCATATGACTCTTGGTCACAGAAGTCAAAGTGAGCAGGGCGAGAAATCCAGAAGGTTCAGGGGTGAGATAGTGCTTGTTTATTCTATAGGTTGTTCTCTACATTACTGCAGGGACAGGCCCTGGTGACTGTGTAGCAGCCCTGAGGCACGAAGCAAGTAATAAATGCAGTTAGTTGAAAGGATAAGTCTAGAACTAGAATTACAAGGAGATTCAGACAAATGCTATATATCAAATGCTATATAATCATAAATATGGTAGTTAAAGCATACAGTTTGGCTAGTTTTGCCTTCAAAATTAACTGAACTGTGTCAATAGATTGTGAAGTGCTAAGTCACCTGTATGTTTTAGCTCATTCTATGGATAAGGCAAATGTGTAAACAGATTAAACTTTTACAGAATAATTATTCCTTTATCTTTTTGCATGGGAAGGGATCCTCCATTTTAGGGTGCACATAAAATGCTAGCCTATAGATTGATGACATTGCTTTAACACTTTTTTCAAAAATGTTATTTTACAGGAGGGTTAACCTGTAAAAGAATAGTGAATAAACTTGAAAAATTCCAATAGCAAAAATATTTCAGCCATGGCACAAACAACCAAAAGCCAATGATATCTTTCAATTTTAGAAATTAGGACTGTTTTCTGTTCACTGTTGAAGCAGGATACCATGTTCAAACCAGAAACTGTAATTCAACAGAACAAATCAGGTCAAAACAATTAACCATATAATGTAACAAGACACAAGAGGATGATTTCATATGAAGAAAAACAAAAAACGAAAATAACAAATAACCTAAACTTATCTCCTTGAATATAACGTTGATGGCAAGATTACTAACAGCTCATCCCTTTGTTTAGTTTAGATAAAGACTTCCAGCACAGAAGACTGTTCGTAAGTAACTATTAGGAGCTATGCAGAAATGATGTGAGGCAAGCACTATACAAAGACAAACTACATAAACACAGGTTTTAATTTTCTTCAGAATTTATTGCAGGTTACCATGGTATGAAAAGAAAGCAGACCATTCTTAATGTGTCAAATTTGTGAGCTTATTAATTTAGATACATGATCCCCATCACACAGATAACACTAAATCTACTCTGAAAATCTAATCAATTAAGAAGTATTATCTATTTGGAGACTATGTGCCTAGCATCATATTATACCAAAAATATGGCTGCTGTCCTTACAGGACATATGGGGTCATTAGCAATTAACCAAAAATGTAGTGAGTATTCTAACATTTTAGTAAACATTGGGAAAACTAACAAATTTCCCTGGACATTGTTTATTCTTGCCCTTCCAAGAGACTTACAGATTCGGATGAAATTAGTTTAAAAAAGGGGTCTTTTTTAGTCCAGAAAATCTCTTAAGTCCAATATAGTTACGGCTAATCAGAGACTAAAGAACCTTCATAAAGATACGTAAGCTTACAAATCCTCAGAAATCGATCAGTCTTATTTTGAATTAGCATGTTTTAATCACAGGTATGGAATCAATTAAGTATCAGTTAAGAATTTCTGGAATGCACCCCATTGTCAAATGACCACTAACATGCTATTTCCTACTATAATGACTTTGAGATAGAAGGCATAAAACAATACTGCCAGCTATCAAATAAATTTTACTGCACTGCCTCTGCTCTCTAAAGAAAAATCTTGTTTTTCCACATAAGAAACTCACTAAATCAAATGAATGTTAATTAAAGAAAAGATAGTCTAAATAAAACCGGGGGACAGATAACTGCTAATTACATAGGAAATCCATGTAAGAATTAATCATCGTAAGAGAAGAACCATTTTCCCAGCAGCCCCACTGCCATGAATGATATTCTCATGAGCCTCGGCCACCTTCTCCAACGGATACTGAGGACCTATTACAGGTTTCAACCAACCGACTTCCATTCCAGCTTGAAGGGCTGCTGCAAATTGCTGAAATTCCTCCTAAGGAAAAGAAAAGAAATTTTTTTGTAGTGGATCATGACTTAATTTTCAGAAGCATTAAAAAAACTTCAGAATCTATGAGTTATACCATACAGAGTCTCTTACAAATGTGACATTTTTGTCAGAATGTATGACCTGTCCAGAGCTATAGAAAAAGCAGTTCTCTTTAGGGTAACCGTAAATCATATTTTGCTGGGACAGTGTTAGTTTACAAATAACTATTTTTAACAGTATCCTCTTTCTCTCACAGGTGTCCTGACTTGGATAATAAATTATACTGTTGCTCTAGTTACCCTTCTGGTGACTAATCCTTACCAAGTCCTCCAGTCATATAACTAAGTTTAACATCTACGTAAACTTTCGTTCTGCCTGACTAGGCAAATTACACCAATGTTTTAGTTACCAAAATCAGACATACTTCTTTTCCTACCTTGGTTGAGGAAAAGAAAGTAACTCCAAGTATACTGCACTCCTTTACCATGATGTCCCGTGGGTTTATTTCAATAGTTCCTCTGCTGCCAACAACCTATTATGAAAACAACACGTCTATAGTTAAAGATCGGTGCAAAACAGTGTAAAATTGTGATAAAACTTTAAAGAGGTAAAAAAAAAAAAAAGAAAAAGAAAAATACTTACTATTACTCGTCCTCCACGTGACAGAAGATTCAAATCCTTGTTAAGATTTACATTCGCTAACATTTCAATAATCACATCTATTCCTTTCTCACCAACAGATTTCTACATAACAAAAGAGAATATAGAGTAAGATAACAAGTGAAAAACTATAAAATAGCTCTTATATGTACCACATATTACAGAAATGTGTTTCAAACGACATAAAATGTTACGTTTTTAAGATTAACAATACGAATTTTAAAATGACCTAATTATATAATGATGATGTAATTCCAAGATACCAGCCATAACATCTAAAATGATAAATATTTGTACTAAATAAATTGTTGTAATGAAAGAAAACTTGTTTGAAATTTTCAGGTGCTAGACTCAACTGAAGTATAAAATACTTTTCCTTTAGCTGAAAATTTTCTATCTTCAAAATGAACCTTCATATAGAAGCAAACAACAAATCGAAAACCCAAAACTCCCAGGGGGCTCCCATTTTTATTAAAAAAACAAAAAGCAAAGGAAAGCATCATATGATTCATCCATGTAACAAAAACGCTTGAACCCCCTTGACATTTTGAAATCAAAATTTAAAAAAAATCTTTGCTGTTTGGTTTTGCAGGGGTTGCTTTGGGGTGGGGGGATTCAGTTTTGTTCTAAATGGTTTACAATCTGCCTGACATACTCATTCTTTTCTTTGGGGCTCTTGGACTTTGGTTCCCAACATCCAAAACTTGCTCTTAAGACAGACAGACATATATAATATAAAAATGAATCTATACTATATTCATTTTACTTTAACCAAAAAAATTTTAACCTGTGCCAGGGATTGTGCCAGGTACTGGGAATGCAAGATGGACACAGGGACCTCAAAACAAAGCTAGGGAGAAAGACAGAAGATACTACAGTGATACCTATAATGTAATGGGCTAACTGCTGCATTAGCAGAAATAAACCATATAGAGAAAAAAAGTTAAAGTCTAATTGCCAGCACTGGTCAGAGAAAGTTCTACAGAGATGATAACCTAGGCCCTGAGGGATGATTAATAGTTTCCTAAGCAAAAAAAAAAGGAAGATGAGCAAGGGGAAGCTAGACATGAGGCAGAGTCAGTCTGGACCAAAGAAACAGAAAAGCGAAGATGTCAGGGATGGAGAACACAAGGACTGGAACACGAGCAGAGCTGGAGTGTGTAATCAGATGAGGAGGAGCACAGGGAGGGGAAGGGGTTGGTGAAAGGAGACTGTGAGTTGGTACAGACTGTGAAAATACAGTGAATGTAACATAAAGGGTTTGGACTTTTTTTTTTTGGCAGTTGTTCATTAATTCTTGTGCCAGGCACTGCAAGTGCGGTAGGGAGCAAGAAAGGCAAAAATTCCTCTCCTCACAGAGCTTTCATTTTAATTATTTCTGGAGATTTTTTCTTATTAAGTTGGAGGGGGGACCAAATAACTCTGCACACAGTAGAAAAGATAGAAAGGGAGATTAGCCAGGTTATCAATAGTAGTTAAGGCTGGAGAAATTCAGGCCTAAACTCGGTCACAGTGGTGAATGGAATGGAGAAAAAGAGGTGCATTTGACAGGCATGTCACAGATGGCACTGATAGAATGGGGTGACCAACATGCTGGGTGGGAGACAGAATGGTGATTAAAAGATGGGAATAAACAATGAAATGAGGGTTTCTGTTGCGGGTGAACAGATGAGTGGCAGTGTCTAGCAGGCTGATGGCATGAAGGAACCCAGGCCAGAGACAGTGTCAGAAATCAACAGCATGTGGGTAATAGCTGAAGCTGTGGGAGTGTGTGAGACTGACCAGGATGAAAGTCTAGCACCAGGGAAGATGAGCGACCAAGGGGAGAAAACCTAAGGAACGTCAATATTAAATAATACGAAGAGGAAGGAGACTGCAGGTGAGCAGTCAGGGATGTAAGAAGAGAACAAGTTTCAAGGACATATGGTCAGGGTCACACACTACCGAAAAATCCATCAGGATGAGGACCGAGAGAGACCGCAGACTGATAATTAGGAGCTTACCCATGACCTCTGAGAAGCAGTTTAGGTAGTTGGGACGAAGGCAAAACTGCAGTGGGAGGTAAGGAAGGAGAAGCATAAGTACTCACTACTTTTTCAAGAAGTTTGGTGGTAAAGGGAAGAGAGAAAAGGGGTGAGTTAAAGGTTAACAGAATGTTTCTGAGGATGGGAGAGACCTAAGCAGAAGGAATCAGTGGAAGGGATGGAAGCTATAAGACCTCAAGGCCTTAAAATTAGATTAGGGGTAAACAAAAACCATACTCTTAAGTTAACTTGCCATTTTTCATCTTTGTAAATATTCTTGGGTAATGGTTATCAGGAGTGAGTACTGCGTCTGAGGTTCCCTGGACATATAACAAAGTGCCTTTCTTTAGGTTTTTAGCAAGACGATTTAACGGTAATAAACTCTCACTCGTATTTTTTCCTCTAGTGAGGAAAATTTTTCCTCTAGTGAAAAATGACCTAGTTTATGTAGTAATGACCTAGTTTACATAGTACTTAGTACCTGGGAAATTCTAATTCTTTCTAGCATGAGGAAGTGGCTGAGGATTAGCAAAGCAATCAGTGTTTAATAAACTGCTTCTATAGTACAGATGGGGAACTTGAGAATCTGCTTGAATTCTATTACATGCAACAACTAAATACCACCTCATCACTTTGGATACAGTTAACAAATAAACTTTATTCCTTGGACTAAACAGATCCAGTTTGTAATCTGTGGATACCTCACCTTCCATGGCAAGTTCGCATCAGTAGAAATTATATTAAGAATACCTCATAGCTATAAATACAAAGCTGCAGATTTACTTAAAATGTGATTTGTATTAAAAATCGCCAATTTTTATAGCTATAAGACTCTAGAGGCTATATTTTATTCAATACACACAAAGAAATGATAGTGAAGGTTTAAAAATCAGATATCTCTGCTTTTTAAATGATTTAAAACTTTTAAACACACATAGACATAAAAATATATACAGGCATTTAAAAAAGGAAGCAAACAATCTTAAGAGAGTAGTTGGTAAAAGAACTTATAAAAAATCATGCAAGTCTCCAAGAAACAAAGTTTGACTTTTGTAAAATTATTGAAAATTTTACCTTAATTTTATCAACATAGTTAACTTCTCTGTGGTTAAACACTTCATGGGCTCCATTTTGCAAAACAATCTTTTGTCCCTCCTCAGTACTAGCTGTGCCCAAAACCTTTAAGCCATAAGCTCTGGCAATTTGGCATGTTGCTATTCCAACCTGAAAAACAAAATATTAATATAACCCAGTAGTTACATATTCTCTGCATTCCTGCAAACACTTTGAACTTAACATTCTTATAGGACCTACCCTAACCCTAAGGAACTTAGAGTATAAATAAAGAAATAAGAAAAATAGCTAACTTTTATCAGGCACTTAAAATGTTCCAAGTACCATACTAAATACTTTCTACACACTGCTTTAGTTCATCCTTACAATGACCCTATAAAATAGATACTATTATTGTCCCTATTCTACAGATGAGGAAGCCGAAGCTTCAAAATATAACTTCCCCAAGTCACATACAAAGATGGAAACAGGAGCTAGACCAAATCAGACTGCAGAACTTGAGTTTTTAAACACTGGCTCAAAATGTTTGCTTAGCATCTGCTTTGTGCAGAAGGTACGGAGTGTAAAGCAGATGATCAGAACATGCTCACTGACTTCATACTTTAACAGGTACATATAAAATACTAAATAACAAATGTTAAGGCTTCTACCATTGAAGAGACAGATATATAGGCAAATTAATTAATTCATCCATATGCTGAACTTTTATTGAGTGTTTACTATGTGCTAGACTTGGCACTTAATGCAAGAAACTTACATTCTAAGGAGGGGGAAGATAATAAACACATAAACAAATAAATAAGTAAAATAAATTCAGAAAACAGTAAGTGCTAAGAAAAAAACAATACTGGCTATTGGGTTAGAAAGAGACAGAGATCATCAGGAAAGACTACTCTGAAGAAATGAGACCTGCAGGAAGTAAGGCACGGCCATGTGAAGGTCTGCGCAGCTGTGTAGAGGATGCTATAGGCACAGTGCACGGCCGCAGCAAGCTGCTGAAGTGGGAATGCACCTGGGAGTGTTCAAAGGACAGAAAGAGGGTCAGCATGGCTCAGGTACGGGGCACATGCGAGAGAGGAAGATGAGGCCAGAGAGGTCGAGTCAAACAGGACATGGAATGTGAAGGTAAAGGCTTTGGGTAATACTAAAAACCATGTAAAACTATTGGAGAGCTTAAGAGGAGAACAATCTGATTGATTTAGGCTTTAGCAAGGTCACTCCAATTATATGGGAGGCACAAAGAAGTTGGAGAGAAAAATGGGAGTAGGAAGATCAGTCATTATCTGGTATAATAGTCCAGATAAGAGATGACACAGGCTTGGACTAAGATGGTGGCACTGGAAAGAACAAAAACAAATTCAGATATAGAAGTGTACTGATTGAATGTGGGAAGTCAAAAAAAGAGAAAAATCAAGATGTTCCCTAGGTCTCTGGCCAGATGAACTGGGTAGATAACTGAGAGGAAGAAGACTGGACAGCATCAAGTTTGTGATATCATCAAGAATTCACTTGGAATATGCTGAGCCACATTGTACTTGCCAAGGTGAAGATGTTGAGTAATCTGTTAAATATGGGTATGGACTCAAATGAGGTCAGAGTTGGAAATATAAATTTGAGATTCACTATCTTACACATGGTATTTAAAGCCATGGGATTGGAGGAAATCACTAGAATACTACATAATGTGCTTAGTACAAAAGAGAAATAAAAGTAATTTAGGAATGTAGATAAAAGCAAATATTTAAATAACAATGCCAGAAAAGATGTGTGTGATTACATGCCAAATGAATGGTACAGGTAAGTGTCACATATATTTAGAACAGAGTTTCTCAAACTTGGCACTCTTGGCTTTCTGGGCCAGGTAATTCTTTGGGGGACTAGGCTGCGCATTGAAAAATGTCTACTCACAAGGTGCTAGAACCCCCTTCCCCAGTTGTGACAGCCGAAAGAGTCTCTAGACATTGCCAAATGTCCCTGAAGGGAAGGAGGAATGATACAAAATCACTCTCTAGTGATAACCAGTGACTTGGAAGAAAGATTGGGTTCGGTGAGATAGAAAAGAATTAAATGAAAAATGATGATAGAAACTAATTGAAATTGTAGCAAAATCACAGACTCCCAGACCTGAAATGGACCTTAAAGATTGAACAGCATATGGTAATGATGAGCCTGAACTCAGTAGGGTTATGGCAGGGATTTGTTTGACTTAATCAAAGCAAACAAACAAATACATGGAACTCACTGTGACGAAGGAGAGAGACATCCAATTAGATAAAATACAACACGCTATGGGGTGAGCATAATTGAGTGTCCGCTTTAATTTTCAAATTTAAAAAAAAAAGCATACCTCTAATAAAACCACATTTTAAACTAAAGATTTAAAGCATTAAAATAAATATATCTCCTTATGCTATAACTACTTTAAAAGGACAGGCTCTTTTAAAGGCACTGTTTATCCTACTCTTCTCAACAATTATACCAGCAATCCTCCTTCAATAGATTATGGACTATTATGTGTCCTTATTTTTCTTCTACTTATTTTGCTAACCCTAAAATAGGGCACTCCCCATCAAAATATCTAGATAATAGCTGTGTTCATAAATTCCACACCATTTTAAATACACAACATAATCCCAAAGGAATTTGAATTAAATGAGGACAGAAAGTACAAACAGAAGCAAGGCAAAGCCCAGTACTCTGTTTCCCTCTGATACGGTAGGGAGGATCAGAAGTGCTTCAAACACCAGGTTTCCAGCCTATCCCTGCCAGCTGAGGATTTAACAAACTCAGCCAGCTCAGAGAACAGTGTGGATTTTACCTTTAAAAAAAAAATCACGGTGAAGCGACTAGGCTTTTTACAACAGGGTAAAAGGAATACAAAGAGATTTTCTTTAAACTCTCCTCTCCTGTTCCTACTGAAAATTTTCCCTTCTATACAGAGCACAAGGTTAGCTCTCTGAAAGCCAGGGCAATTTAAATAAATGCATGTGTCTGACTGACCCTTTAGTTATTTAGGGTTAAATTTAATTTAACCCAAAAATAGCGCTTCTAGTGAAATTAAACAAAGGGAGTTTTAGACAAGGTCTCTGTCATATTTTCTCAAGCCCCATAAAGACAATCTTAGTGTTTTGAAATAGTCTGATCTGTGAAATCCTTCAGAATTATCTTTGTGAGGTATGTATGAAGCTAGGTATGAAACCTTGGGGATTCATTTATCTAAAGAAACAGAGAGACAAAATGGACTGAATTCTCTGTATTTCCTGGCCACTTTTAGAGGTAAATTCACATTTTCAGGATATCATTCATTATTCAGGGGATAATGTGCCATCTAATAGGTTATTTCTTTCAATCTACTCCACAGCACTCTGAAGGGGTTAACCAGCTTCCTCAAGGTAAGCATCTAGCCCCAGGCCCTTTATTTTTAAAATTCGAAATCTTGTCTCCAAAATTTCTAAAGCCTCTACTTGCAGGATAGAGGTCATGTGGATTTCTTGTTAAATTCCAACCGCAGAGCTCTAACTTTTCCTCTAAGCTCCTCAGGGACAGATTGGCAGCCAGTTTCTTGAAGAGGTTTCTGACAGCCCTGCATTGGGCGATTTCACTGAAGGGCTTATTTTATAAATTCTGAGTGTTCCCCCCACCCCATTAGCATTTTAAGCCATGGGCTGTGGTGTTAAGGACACAGCTGTATACAGTGCACTCTATGAATGTCATCAAAGCGCAGCAGGCAAGCAGTGGAAGGGAGATAGAAAGGACTGAGAATTCACGGTGTGGCTTTGCGGTACTGTCTGGGGCAACACAGGTAAAGCTTTAATGAGCCTTAGTTTCCTTATCTAAGGGAATATGGAATTAATATCAACCTTAAAGAACTGTTTAAAATTCTAAATAAATATTCTTATAACATATGCTACTTGAAGGCAAAAACAAAGGCCAGTTTATCTTGTTCCACACCCAATAACGGTAGAAAACCCAATACATACATTCTTGATGGGGTGTTCTGTTGAATTTATTCACCAAGAAACGCTAAACTAACGACAAAGAATCACCTTCAGAAGACCAAATTTTAAAAAGCTTTATCACATAGAGGAAAAAAAAGGACCCTTTACTGTATTTATAAATTTGGCTTTTAAAAATGGCTTAAAGAACTATACTGTGAAACTCATAAACCCAAGCTCATTTAAAAACAACTTTAAAAAAATACTTACTCCTCCACTAGCCCCATGAACCAGAACAGTTTCTCCAGCTTTCGCACGGGCACTGCAAAAGAAAGCAAAGGTCCCATCACCTTATTTTTCTGAACCTTATTAAGCTCAAGTGTTTTTCATTATCTTTAAGGAATTTCTACCCTTACTCCAGCTAACATTTGCCCAAAGAGCAAATGCATCCTGATATACAGCCCAAAACATTCTCCAACCTCCACAGGATCTGACTCTTCAGAGCCTCAGATAAAAGAAAACCTTCAATTCACTGATCTCTTCAATAAATGTTTACTGGGAGTCTTTATGTGCCAGGATTGTGCTGGATGCTGGAATCACAATGTGGTGCCACTTCTGAGAGGCTGCAGTCCTGGCAGGTAAGTTAAGCGAAACTGCTGAGCCTAGAGGAACTGGAGTCTCTCGTTCCCACAGAAAGTGTCTCAAAGCAGGTTACTTACAGCTCAGTCTTTATTCTGTGGTCCCAAGTAATGCCCAAGCAAACACAGCAGCTAGACTATATTTTGCCAGGGGTAAAAAAAATATTTTTACTTCTCTATGCCTTTGAACATTAGGTTGCACCAGCTTCTAAGCTCCCGTTTTAGAAAGGAACGCTGAGTCAGCAACGGTAGAAGAGTACGAAATACAGTAACTCCTGTCACGGAGGTTCCCATGTCACTCCTTAAAATTCCCAGATCCTGTGGTGAAATGACACATTCTTTTTGCTTCCAGTTCATACTACCATTTCTCTATCATATTCTGAAAACAAGGAACACACAGCAAGACAATGGGGGATGCTTTGCAATTCCGGATGGACGAGTGCTGATGTCACAAGCCAGGAGATGCTGTGTGATCCCAATCTGATTATCCGGGGGGTCTCTTACTTCCTAGAGCCATGTGGGGTGGCCACACTGCAGAGACACTACATTCAGTATGGCAGTAAGAACACAGTAACCCGGAGTCCTGCTCATGGCTGTGTGCCAACAGCTGACACACAGCAATAATGAGCAATAAATGAAGCTTTCTCTCTCTAACACTGGCTTGGAGTTAAGGGGATTGAGGAAAATGAGTTAAATTGAGGGTTTGAATGATAAACTGATATAACTATTACCAAAACACTTTGACATTTTATAAAGTAAAATACAGATGTTAAGGGAATAGGATTATTAACATTAAACTAGGAGACATGAAACATTTCTCAATGATTTCTTTTTAAAAATCTTATAAACAACCTCTCAAACACTAAGAGCACACTCTGCTAAATCCCCAGGCCTGGGGTGAGTGGGGAACACCAGGCAAACCCTTGCCTGAATCCCCACTACTATAATCCTTCTGTCCTTGCACAGAGTCATCGTGATGGTTAATTTATGTGTCAACTCAAATGGGCCAAGGTACCTGATAGCTGGTCAAACATCATTCTGGACGTTCTGTAATGGTATTTTTTGAATGAGAGTAACATTTAAATTGGTAGATTTTGAGTAAAGCAGATTACCCTCTACACTGTGGGTGGGCCTCATCCAATCAGCTGAAGGCCTGCACAGAACAAAGACTGACCTCCCCTAAGCAAGAGGCAATTCTGTCAGCAGACTATCTTTGGGCTTACCTGCAACTCCTGCTTGTGTCTCCAGCCTGCTGACCTGCCCCATCAGATTTTACACTTGCCAAGCCTCCACAGTTTTGTGAGCCAATTCCTGAAAATCAATCAATCTGTTTGTGCATGTGTGTGCACAGATTGGTTGACTGATTTAAAGGAATCTATATAAGTGTACACGTACACACACACATACACACATATCCTGTTGGTTCTGTTTCTCTGGAGAACCCTAACACAGTCATCTTCCTCTGGGGGTCACAGCAGGGGCTCTGCTGTCCCGTACTGTCTCCTAGTCACTGAAAACTCCAGTACTTGGCACATAGGCTTTCTCTTCCACCCCAAATCCAGCTCCAATCTAGGAGATTCGGCATTTGCCAGGAAGAAAATCTTGCATCACATCACAATTCCTGAATTCTGCTCCACTTTAGTCACTGTCTCTCAGGGCTAGATTTGGTACAAAACACCAGCAACCATTCCACCTGAGAAATATCAGACACCAATAACCAATATTTATGACAATAATTTCCTATCCTAATTCTGTAAACTCATATTCTCTCAAAACCTTTTCAACATCACAGACTGTTCCATTTCTGTCCATTTGTACTCTCTCTCTCTTCAGTGCTCTCGTTTCTTCTGAACTATTCCATTTTGCCATCGATATTCCGGCCCTAGATTAATGTTAAAATCTAACTTCTTTGATATTTTATCCAAGTGGCTAAATATTCCAGAAGAAAATCGCATGACCATTCATTTTGAAGCCATTTCAATTCTGATACTCAAAAGATCACTATGCCTCCTACCTAATTATGAAAAGAGAGGCAATCACATGAAAGCTCCCTCAACACCCCACTTCCCTACCCACAGCCTTCTTTGTAATTATGCCACCTTTAACCCTTCTAGGTTTATGGATGAGCTGTCCTTTAGATACTGGAAGCCAACCATAACTCACGTCCCAAGTCCTTTCAACTTGCCTTATGCGGGATCTTGTTTCGTCTGCCACTCCTCCCTCTCTGCTAGATCCTTTCTTAGCTATAAACATGTCCAAGCCTTGTCTATCCTTAAAAACTCCTTTTTTCCCCATACTCTTCTCAAGTAACCTTCGACTCTCTCCTTCCTGTCTCCTCCATTTTTAAAAGAGTAGTCCCCATTCAAGGAACTGATTTTCTCTTCCTTTCTCAATCTGCTCAATTAAGTCTCTGTCCCAGCACCCTACTGAAAAGGAGCTGAATATATTCACCAATGACCTCTTAATTGCTAATCCCAATTGTTAGTTTTTCTGAACAGACCTCACTTCTGCCTTTCACAGCTGGCCTCTCTCCTTAGTAGCAACATCCACTCTTACTCCTAACACTACCAGCACTGACTGAACACGTACTCTGTGCCACTGCCATACTAAGAACTTCATAAACACTGCCTCATTTAATTCTTACCACACCTCTAGGAGGTAGGTGCTGTTATTATCTAAGGTTTTCAAACCAGTGAACTGCAGCAGAGATGGAGAAGTAACTTGACCAAGGTCATATAGCTAGTACTAGGTGAAGACATTACTGTAGCCCAGGTCTGTTTTTCAAAGCCCACACATTTAATGGCTGCTTAATGGGTACCATGACCTCTAGACACTCCTGGCTTTGGGATCCACTCCTCTGGTTCTCTTAGGACTTCATCCCTTTCGTCTGACTACACTCTTAGATGCTGATGTTCACTGGGGTTCTATTCTCATTTTAGCACTCTTCTCACTCCCACAGGGATTTCAATCACTTTTCATTCTGTAAACTCTCACCTACACGCTGATATCCCCAAATTTATATCTCTGGCCTTCAAGCTTCAGGTTCTTTTATCCAGCAGGCTACTGGACTTCTCTCTCACAATTTTTAGTCCAAAACTAAATACAGCTTCCCTTTGAAACTTCCCCCCCCCCTTTTCTTTGTCACAGTTAAACAGGACTCAAGCTAGAAAGCCAGAAGTACTCTCAAGCTCTCCTCACCCTCCATCGCCACCTGCAAACAATCACCAAATACTCCCCACTTTACCCACACTAAATATTAACAGCTGGCCTTTCTTCTCCACCTCTGCGGTCATGACCCTTGCTCTGGCCCATGAGTGTTTTGTCTAGAGGAGACTCCTCTAAGGCCCTCCTCTCTCTCTCCCCACTCCTGTCCTCAAATCTACCCTTCACACAGCAGATAAGTGATCTCAAATAAAACACAAATGTGACAACAGCACTCTTCTGAAAAAAATATTTCATGACCCCCAACTCTTTACAGAACAATGAGTGAGCTCTATAATCTAGCTTTGTACAACCTTAATCCTACTTATTTAATGATGACAGCTAACATTTATTAAGAGATTACTATGCTCCAACCTTGTTCTTTACCACAAAATCTTCTATCCAACAAAAGCAAATTGCTATAGCAATCCCCACACACCATGCTGTTTTTCCCGATATATCATGCTATTCCCACTGTCTAGAATGTCCTCTCCCCTCCCAGGTATCCTTCCCCAGGGGAATTCCCTCTAATCCTTTTCAAATACTTCGTGGATTTGACTAAAATACAATTACAGACTGTCAGATGCCAGTTGGCCTGAGAGTAGGACCTCACATTGTACTTTTAACTTGCTGCCCAGATGATTCTAAGGGTAACAAGATTTTTGAACCATGGCTTTAAAACAATCCAGATCTTATATCTGATCACCACAAGCACATCCCTTGTGATCCCATAAATCCCTATGCACATCTCTGCCACTGTACTTTCCACATACTATGTAAATATTATTACTCCTATTTCTATTTCCCTTACTAGACTGGGAGCATCCTGAAGACAGTGTTTGCTCGTCTTTATATCCTCAGAGATTAGCATGATCCTCCAAACTAGCACAGTTTCCACTTCATAAATGTTTAATGGTAAGTAACCAGTAACCAAAAATAACAGACGGATGAATGGATGATGGTAGAGAGGAAGGCAGTTAACACCTTCTTTGGTGTTGGCTATAAAATTGACAGTGTGTTATTTACCTGTGTATCAGAGCTCGATAAGCACTAAAATATGGGATACCAATGGCAGCTCCTTGTTTAAAGTCCAGTTTTTCAGGCAGTTTGTAAACAGTGTGATCTGCTGCAAGAGCATATTCTGCATAGCCCCCAGAGATCGTGCCGGTGGTGAAAACTCTGTCACCTTTCTGGGGGAAGAGATAAATTAATGAATGCATCGGGACTTAAAAGGTACATCAAAATGGGTGCAATCCTTTCTAATGCAACTTTTATAATAAGAAATAACTATTTATATACTGCATTCTACGTCTTAGGGTCTCATAAAAATAACTTTAAAATACTGAACATTTTTAGATGTTTTATTAATGGGAACCAATGGGAAGAAAAATTAAACAGAAAAAAATGAAAGAAGAGAACCCTTCAAATGGCATAATAATAATGCTGATAACTCACTTTTTCGATAGCTTACTATGCCAGGCACTACATTAAGTATCTCTAGAGTATTATCTAATTTGATTTTCACAACAGCCTATGAGAGGGGCACTTTTATTATCTGCACTTTAGATTAATCCCACTACACAGATGAGGAAATTGTGGGACAAAGAAGGTCAGTAATTTCCTCAGATGAAGCAGTCAGTAAATGGCATTCAATGCAAACTGTTATTTTTTGCCCCCAATACTAGGGAGAACAAACAAAATGTCTCCTCCACATACCAAACACCTGTTGTAAATCCTTTCTATGGATTTCCCCACCCCTGCATTGTTGGCATTTTTCACGCATACACCCAAAAGTAAGAAACCATGCCAGGATCCTGACAGCTGGATAAGCCAGGACAGACGTCCTCACTGGTCGCAGCACCAGGAACACGGTAAACCCTCACTAAATGTCTGCTAGACCGTGGCTATTGAGAATCAGATGCATGACTGAGGGTGAGGTAATGCACTCGCCAGGCGTCATAGGTCTAATACATGATTTGCATGCTAGGGAAAACTAGACTGCCCACTGCAACTGGCTGCCCTAACTCATTCTTGAAAATAAGTAAATATTCCCTGGAATAGGCAAAATATGAAAGCAACGACTGCTTAGTGTACTTTAATTAGTCCTATAATGAAATCTCAAAATGTAACAGCACTGTGCAGTGGGATAGAGACAAAAAGATTCCAAAAGGCATCTAAGAGTCAAAGACAAGCATCACCACTTCATAGTGTCGCCTACAAATTGTCAAGTATGACTAGGTTAAGATTAATCTTGTTTTTACAATTTAAAAAATATGTTGAATTGATTTCAATATAACTCAAACATTTACTAAGAATCCACTAAATGGAAAGAATTACTTTGGGTTCTGTGAGGAAGATTAATAGCAAGATGCTGTCTTTAATTTCAAGCATCCTAAACTCTAGAAGAAAGAAGAAAAGGATAGAAATAATTATAAAGCAAGGCAAACATGAAGACCCATCAAAGGCAGGTACAAGAAAAATAAAGGAATTACTTCTGAGTTGAGGAAATTAAGGATAGCTTCATTGGGAAGCTTGTATTTGAAGTAGGTCTTGAAGGACAGCACAAGATTTTGAAAACTAGAACTGGGTGAAGTAAACAAGGTCAGCAAAGGAATAGGGGCAGGAATAAATGCTGGGAAATTACCAGCATTTATTTGCAATGAATAAGCAGTCTGATGTATGGTATGTAATAGTTTCAGGAGATAAAATGGAAATAAATTAAAGCTGAAGTGTGAAATTCCTTGAATCCATGTTTAAAAGTTTTTGGTTAATTCCACCAAGCAAATGAACCCATATGAACAAAGACAGAGATGAGAGTGCATGGGATGTGCAAAGACAGACAAACAGTTCATTCCTAAAGAAAAACTGCAGGGTGAGAAGGAGCAGGAGATAAAAATGGAAAGAGAGGCAGGAAAGAGTATGAAATATTCTTTCATAACAATAGGGAATTTGAAAGGTTTCCATGAAAGCTACAAGGAACTAATACATGAATTAAAATAGAAGTGTAAAACAATCAGAATTACATTCTAGAAAATGATTCTAAAGTAAGGATGGATTCCAGGGGTAAGGAAAGAGGGTAGTAAGTTAAGTATCTGTTAGGTAGACAGTGAGGGATTCTGGGTCTCCTAGGGACAAAAGTGAGTGCTGTTACCCCCATCTTGGTCCTACCCCACCCTAATTCTCCATACCTGGGGGAGGAGGGAATACCCTACGAATCTGCCAATCAGAACTTGGTGCGCCAGCTGCAAAGGAATGCAGAGGACTCTCTAGTCCACAGGCCAAGCAGCATGGGTACCATAAAGTCTGGAAAGTGACCTAGAACCCACATGTGTAGTTAAGGCTCAGGTCATGTGACTCCCAACTGTCCAATCAAAGTGGTTCCATGGTGATCTCTGAACCACAAGGGGGAGGGTCCCTACCCAGGCACTATAAAATAAGATGCAGACCATACCCAATCTCTCTCTCTTTGGCCTTCCTTTCACTTGCCCTGCTGTGACAATAGGTCCAGTTATCATCTGTGGCATATGTACCATGCTCTGTAAACCTATATCTTGCTCTTGCCCTATAATCCTATCTTTCTCTCCTCAATAAACCTCATTTTCGTGCTTGCCTAACTTTGGTGTGTCTGGTCATTCTTTAGCCATGAGCGCACCAAGAACCGACAGTTTCAGACAAAAACCTAACATATCTATTATAGAAATCCAGGTCAGAGGTGTATTAATAATTAAGTCAAGCAGGTAAGATCATCAGAACAAAACTACCAGAGGGTATGGAAAGAGGAGAGAGAAAACGGTTCTAGTAAGGGAGAGTGAGGAGATAAGCCTCAAACCCACGAAGTCACCAAAACAGTCACACAAGAGAGAAGTGGGTCTACAGCGAGAAGGGAAAAGCTCAGTTTTAGACACATTAACTAATAGGTTCCTGGAGGTTGACCATGTGGGTCTAGTGCTCTCTGGCAGAACTTTCTGTGATAATGGAAATGATCTGTCCAGCAGGGTAGCCAATAGAGGCAGGGAGCAAATGTTGTGATTATGAGTCAGGAACTAAATTTTCAATTTAAATTTAATTTAAATTTTAAATTGTCACATATGACCAGAGACTACTGTTTTGGCTATCACAGATCCAGAGCTTGGCAGAAAATTCTAAGCTATCACATGTGATGATGGAAACTAAGGGAGTGCATGAAAAAGGTACAGAGTACAAAAAGCAGAGGTCTAACTAGGGACTGAGAGCCCTGGGCGACACCAACAATTGAGGAACATCCACAGAAAAAGAGTCTTGAAAACCGATGACCAGAGAGGAAGGGAAGAAGATGTCACAGAAGCTGAAGAAAAAGTTGTTTTTTTCTTTTAAGAAAAAGTTAAGTGGCTGAGAGTGTCAAGTATCACAGAGAAGTCAAGAAAGATAATGACATAAAAGGGCCCATTAACTCCAGCAATATAGAGGCCATTAGTGACATTAGCAAGAATGCTTTCAGTGGAGAGATTGAGGGCAGAAGCCAGGTTGCCACAGGCTGAGGAGTGGAAAGCTGTGTGAATCTGCCCATCTTCCTGCACAGGGGCACGTTAATCTTCTCTGACTTCACCCAATTTTGGCAAATGTGCTGCCAAAGTTGAGCAGGTCAAGTTATTATGAGGAAAGATGCCAGGACATGAGTACACTATGAATATACTATGTGTTTTGTGTCTCTTGGCATATAGATTACAAAAGCCCTGATCATAACACTTTCATTGACCTTGGTCTGAGTCAGAGCTCCAAAACTGTAAGTGACCTTGCTTTTTTTTTCATGTTTTACTTACGCTTCAAAAGGATTAATTTCTCCTTTATTTTATGAAGCTAAATGTATAAAAGGAATTAAAAATTATGTTGGCTAATACATTATCAAGAGTTAGGAAGTAATATAATTTGTTTGTTTTCTTTCCTTACATAGTTCTATTAAATCACAAAGATCACAGTTCATTCTGTGGGGACATGAAGACACAGAAATTACCCGGCATCTCTTCCCAACAACGCAAACAAATAAGGCCACTGGAAAAAAGTAATTTCTTTTTTGACTAGAGGAGTCCCCCAAGTGGCAGAAATTGTGTAGTAGGTCCTCTTAAAACCTTAAATACAGAGACATTTTAAAGCTATGTTCAAATATTTCAAGTAAAAAATATTAAGCCAAAATAGAAATAAATAAAAATGTAATACCTTGAAAGCAGATACATTATCTCCAACAGCTTCTATTACCCCAGCCACGTCTGAGCCGGGAGTATAGGGTAAGACTGGTTTTCTACTGTAAGTACCAGAGCGAATGTATGTCTCCACGGGGTTGACACCACATGCATGGACCTTGATTAGAACCTGCGATGACAACATACTTTAGTTCACACAGAGCAGTTAGGCAATTGTTCAGCATTATGCCAGGAGTGTGCCGATTATGGGAGCTATGAAAATGGAGAAAAAACAAAACAAATAAGTCCTTGCCTCCAACAAGCTCACGTTCTAGTTTTGCAAGCCAACATCTAAATAAATAAGACAGAATGGCTTATGTGCCGTATTAAAAACATTCTGGGAAAATAGTGGAAGAAATACTTAAGGGATGTGTGGCAGAAACCTCTATGTGTTCATCAAACCCATTTCCTCCTCCCTCTGGGTACACAGGAAGAGCAGTATCTCCTGCCCTCCTTCACAGTTATGAGTAGCCAAGTGACTGAGTTCTAGCCAATGGAATGTGAGCAAAAGTGATGGCAGCCACTTGCAGGCCTGGCCCATAGAAACCTTCCTAGGAAATCCACATTGTGCTTTTCCTCTTTCATAGAGACCTTGGAAGACGGGGGTTGAAGGTAGTAGAGCCACATGATGGGTCCCTAAGTTACTGCTGGAGGACAGCTACCTACCAACATTTTAGAATTTTTGAATTTAATGAATGAGAAATAATTTTCTGTTGTTGAACCATTGTGATTTTAAGGTTACATCTATTACAGGGGCTAATTTTACCTTAATTAACACACAATGATTACCTCTGGTACAAGAGTAAGGGAAGGCCTTACAAAGGAAGTGGTATTTGAGCTAGACTTTAAAAGATGAGTAGTAATTCTTTAGGAATGGGAGAAAGGGGATATTTCAGGTAAAAGAAATAGTATGTACAAAGACAGAGGAATGAAAGGGCCTCTTGGGGAAAAGCGGATAAAGTTTGATGTTTTTACAGCACTGTATCTCTATACTAAGAGGGAGTGATAAGATATAAATCTGTAAAGATAGGTTATAGCCAAATTGTAAAAACTCTCATAAGGCTTGCTAAGGAAATCAGACTCAGGAGCCATAGAAGGTACAGTAAATAAAAATGCATAATTTTAAATCAAAAGTATATTGTTAAAGTTATTGGAGATGATTAAACTCTACACTTAAATTCTCACTCATAAAAAAGTATGAATGCAGAAATTTGTTTTCCCACCACGCACAAAATAAAAATCCTGAAAGTTTATAATAGAATAACTTATTAAAAACTACTTATGACTCCATTCAGAAAAATCTAATTATTGCACTACATAGATGATTCTCTACTTCAAAAATTTTCTTATAACCAGAGGTTATTGCTTTTCATATTGTCTACTTCACTAATTATCAGATTTATGTTAACTTTGTCATGATTCATACAAATAAATAGTGTAAATTTTGTCCTAATTCAATGTCTTTAAAAATCATTGTGAGTCTGTTTATTTTGAACACTAACGATGTGTGAAAGACTCACTCTCGGTGTAATTATGGCCTGAGTAAAGTAATTATTTCCACCTCAAAGTCTTTGGGAATCGGTACTGCAACATCTGACTGGAGTTTCAGCACTTCTGGTCCACCAAATTCAAAAACTCTAATAGCTCTCATCAACTTCTGTGCAGTCATCATGGTGATCTAGAAACTAAGAAAAAAAATTAACGTATTGTCGTTTATCCAGGCTAGTATGTTTTTTCCCCTGGAGAGAGCAGATCAAACAATTTTTCAAATAACAATTTAAATCATGAGCTTACTACTGATCTCATTTCATGTTTAAGGACCTTTCATCTTAAAAATCCTTCAGCTGCAAAGCAAAATACTTCATACTACATCCTGTAGGGATTCAGTGCCTTCAACAAGGGAATCAAACATGCAAACAAAAACATTTGGATAGACATAGCATGATACCATATCTAAGGTTTTCTTTTGTGTAAGCTTGGGTTGCAACATCTTGCAAAATTTTAGGAGCTGATTTTTATTAACATTAGATGAAAAGACCTCCTTTTGTTAGATTATGAAATATTTCAAACATATTCCAAGTATAGAGAAATATAAACACATTTACCCGATACATAGTTTTAATAAATCTTAACACTTTAAAAATCTACAACTTTGTAGATATAATTGAAGCCTCTTCTACCCATGCCCAAACCCATTTCTGGCCCACCCTTTTAAGAGGTGACTATAACCATAAATGCAACGTTCATCATTTCCAAGCATTTTATAACACTACTACACGTGTATGCATTAGTAAACATGTGCTATTGTTTTGTATATGTTCAAACTTTATTTATATTGGATTATACTGTACTTAATTCTGCAATTTGCTTTTTCCTTTCAGCATTAAGTTTTGAGATTTATCGATGTTGAAAAACTTCGCTTTATGCTGTTCATTCATTTTAATAAAAGGGGAAAAACATTAAAAACTAAAAACACTGCTCAGTATGCAATCTTTCATAAATTATAAGGGCTCAGTTAACCTTTCTGTCCTACCACGTTAATATTAAACTGAAAAGAAAACCCAAGAGTTAAAATAAACTCTAAGAAAGGGCAAAAAACATTTGTATATAAAATTATACAACTTTGGAAAGGCTTTTGTACCTGTAAATATCTAATGAGAGGGTTTTGACTATATCCCCATAATTTTATTTGTAGGTTACTATAATTTATTGGAATTAACCAAATCAAATATTGTTAGATTCCGCCACCATGTAAAACATCTTCCTCACCCACGAGCACTTTAAACGTAAGAAAGAGTTGCAGAAACCAGCACCTGAGATAAAAGAATTCAAGCTTTTACTGTACCAGAGCTTAGCACAGGACTACCCAGAACAGAGCCCATACCAGCTATAAAATGTCATTCAATTTACAGGGGAGAAATCAAAAGCATTTTGGTGGTGTTATTGATGGAAATGGAAAGTTCTTGATATAATTAATCAAAAGTTTATGTCATTTTAAAACCCTTAAAGTTAAAATGATTTAATATAGTGCCTAGCACAAAGAAGAAAGTGACATTTCTAAAGGTTGTTTAGCAATGATATATCCGGAAGGGCAGTCCTCAGGAAAACGAAGCGGGGCAGAAGCAGGTGAGGGCATAAACGAACAGCTAGGCAGTCTCTGAGGGGGAGACGATCTGTCTGTCAGAGTGACAGATCAGGAAAAGGCAGCCCAGTCCCATTCAGCATTGAACTTCTATTCAGGTCTTTACTCAAGCTGGGAATTTCTCAGACGAGAAAGTAGAAGTATAAAGAAAATTTAAAAGAAAAAGAAAAGGTTGCCCAGATCAGAGTTTTCCATGGTGGAAATAAAAACAGAGCTTTTTTTCCTTTTTCCTGTTTGTTTTCAACATGGTGTTATGGAAAGAGTGTGGGCTTTGGAGTATGACAGCTCTAGCTATGAATCCCAGCTCCATTACATAGTCTTGGGCAAGGCAGTCAACTTTTAGAGCCTCAGTTTCCTCATCTGAAAACTGGGCTCCCACTCAGAGTTACTGTGCTGGAGGCACGGCAAACACCAAGGACAGAACTTGGCAACTGTATGTAGTAGACAGCATTATTTGTTCCCTTCTATTCTTTTCAATTTCTTATTCATAAAAATATATGTCATTATATAATTCTACAACCATCTTCTATAACCCTGAAAGAATTCAGTCTAGATAATCATTTGAACAAAACATTAACATCAAACATTGGTTGTTATTCATTCAACACGTATTTTTTGAACATTAACTGTATCCGAGGCACTGTGCCAAACCCAGAGAACACGAAGGGCAAAGAGAAAATGCTCCACCCCACCCACCCCCAGCTCTCACTCACTCTCACACACACACACAATGGAAGATGCTTAGCTCTTTTTCCACTTTCAATATCTACTTATTTCTTACTTCTTTCTTTCTTTCAAACACTGGCATCTATCTTTCCACCAACAGACATCACTATTATCTTCAAAAAACTGGGGCAATAATAAAAGCAAAATTATTCTGAAATAGGATCTGTATCTTGTATCTAACATATATATTTTTCCCCTGCATTTTGGCATTAGCTAAGTTGGGAGAAAGGAAGGAGGAGTCTCAACCTTAATACTGGATTTGGAAGACCACTTGCCTTACCCAGTTCTACCACATTTTCCTATCCCGCTTATAAAGAGAAGGGGCATGACCTTGACAGCACTACCTTCCACTTTGCTGCTGTTGATCTTATTTCCCACTGCACTTTGCCATTCTGATTGATAAGGCTCTAATCTGCACTTATGACCTTTGAACTCAACTACCCATAGGATCACATCTGTTTCATAACACAAGTGCTATGTAAAGGGAATTATAAAAAGAATAAAATAACGTGGCATACTAACAGCAACTAAGATAATTCTTATACCTCTATAATACCTGATTTCTAAAAACCATGAGTCTTTCCCCTCCACTTTCAGAACAGGTAAAGAAGCAACAGTTATTAAAACTGTTATTTTATGCAGAAGTAAAAAATAAAATTACCATCCATCTTAAAACATCACAAGAGGTTAAGGGTCACACAGAAGCTAAGCTAGAACCCAAGTCATATACTTAAATGTTGTTAGTCGATTTTTTAAAAAATGTTTAAAACTTACTGCACCATCCTTTTTATTTCATCCTTTGAAATGTTGGTGGAGAGAACCCTTAATTTCTTAGAAATAAACTTTATGATAGTGAGACAGATTGGGCTAGAAATGTAAAATTGAACTAACTTGCAGGTAGAATCACACATTTTATGATAAAGGCATCTGCTAAGAGTTTGAAATTTCTCAAATGCCCATAAGTCAAAGAATGCAGTAGAAATACAAAGGATATGATTCTATTAGGAAAATTAATACTTTTCTTTTTCTTCCTTTGAAGCAACTTGAATGGAAAATTAATACTTTTCTTATCTATAAAATGGGGATAGCACTCCCTAGCGTAGGATCCTTCTGGAGATTAACTGCAACAACACAGGGAGAGTCCTTCACAGCAGGCCTGTTGTACAGTAAGCTCTATATTATTCAGACTAAATCATTTGTGGTCTCAAAATGGACAAGGTAGGCCTTTCCATTGCTTGTATGTTTTAATTAAACTGTGCTTTAAACAAGCCTTTCTACCTTAAAAAGTTTACATCAAATATACACTTCTAAAAATTATTTAGAGTACATTGGGCTGATTTTTGGTTTTACCTTTTACCTCCGAAATATTGCCAAAATATTACAAACTATACTTTATAAATCTAGGAAATATAAAATCTAAAATTCTTCCTCGGTCATTTTTCCCTGGCTATGCTTGAGTCCATTTGATTTAAATGAAAATTAAAGGGATGGGGGAAATGTTAGAAGTATATTTTTAACATAGAATGAACAGATCAATTCACAGAGCGAAAGCACATTATAAGAGTGTAAGTAAAATTAATTAAGAATTTCAGGCAAAAAAAAATCTTTTAATGAAAACTTGGCAAGAGAATCAATTATTACAAAATGTGCTGCTGTTAATCAAGAATGACTCATGTAAGCATATGGTTTATTCTTGTTAACCCGGGCATGTAAGAAAAAAAAAAAAACTATAAGTGGGCAAAGAGAAAGCTTTTGCAGTCTGTGTGATCTTGTCAGGTTACTTCCCTGGTTTGAATCTCAGTGCACAGCCATTTCCCCTTAGCTGTGGACAAAGAGTCCAAACTTTAGCCTTAGTAACTGAGTCTCCTCTAGAAACCCTATAAACATCCAACGACATGTTAACAGGGTCTTTCGTATTTTTTTTTTTTTTTCATTTTCTAGGCGGGGGCCACAGGGTCAACAAAACTATCCATTTCTCTCCAAAAACAAGACTGCAACCCTGATGGCGAAGCTGGAGGAAGGCCGGGCGGAAAGAGCACTGAGAACCTGCAGTGCAGGAACCTACGAGCAGAAATCTCCCTCAGCTGGGCTGTGGGCTGTGGGCAGCGGCTCCGGCAGCCTGGAGCGCTGGCCGCGGGGAAAATCTAGCGGGTGGCGGGCGGGGGGAGCGGCGGCGTCGGGGGAGTGCCCACGGGCACCCACCCCGTGGTGTGCTAGCCGAAACGCAGATCCCACTGGAAACCAGGGCTAGGAGCCCAGGAGCAGCAGGTAAAACTCCCCAGGTGTTTTACAGAAGGGAACTGCAGCCCCTAGAGGGGATCGGCTTCCGTCGCGAACTCCTTACGCGTTGGTTGTGCGCAGGAAAGGAGTGCAACCAAAATCAAGCTCGGTTCTACTTGGAAGAGCGGCCGGGAGATTCGCTGACTGAAAAACTAAGGAGCTCTTTTAAAACCACTTACCGGGCTCTGAAGCCGCAAGCAAAATTTGCAAGAACTCCTTAAGATTCCACATGCAACCAGCTAGGTAGTTAGTCTCCAACTTTTGCAAGGCTCCGCCTCGCCCGCGCACCTCTCCCCGCCCCTAGGGGAGGGCACAATAATCTCCCGAGCTCGGAACGACGAGGAAGTTTGGGCCTCTTCGGCCACCGCCGCTCCAACATGGCTGCCCCCAGGGAGAAGCGAGGCTAACGTGAAGGTGGAGAATGCAGACCCTAAATTCCTCATCCGTGGATCGCAGTGCAGAGTTCAGGAGATGGAAGGCGCAGAGTCTGAGCAAAGCGGACCTAAGCCGGAAGGGCAGTGTGGACGAGGATGTGGTAGAGCTTGTGCATGTCCTGAACGCGCAAGAACAGTTTTTCACCACCAGCTCCTGCGCTGGCCGCATCCTCCTCCTAGACGGGGTGAGGCCCCTTTGTGCCCTTTCAGCGCCTCCCGCTAGTCCCAAACTTTGAGAGCCGTGTGCTCACTCAGTGCAGTACTCACTACAGCCTGTTTGTCCACTCTAGCGAGTGGTCTGTCTCGTTATATATGAAATTTAGAGGGGGAATTAAACCGGTGTTTCTAAAAGTTTAACATGTCTGTTCACCTGGGGATATTTTACAATGTAGATTCCGATTCTGCAGGTCTAGAGTAGGGCCTGATACTGTGTATTTCTGACATGTCCCCACGTCATGCTGAGACTGCTGGCCTGAGAACTATCTTGTGTGGCAAGGGTTAGAAAATCGGATTTTTTGAATACTAAGGGAAGTTAAAGATTTTCTACCCTAGCATCTCTGCCAAATCATTATTATTGCTTGATTGAACATCACTGGGGCTAAGGAGTTCACTGCTTCCTGGTGGACCACACCATTATTACAACTCTGGTAGTTTTTACATAATGGTAAGTACAATAGTATATAACTATGGTGGCTAGGCTTATGATTTTTCGATTTTATGATGGATTAATCGGGGTAATAAATGCATTTTGACATGGTATTTTCGACTTACGATGAATTTGTCTGCATGTGGCCCCATCATAAGTTGAGGAGCATCTGTACAAGCAGTACCCCTTTATTGCTAGTTTCAGTTACCCAGGGTCAAACAGCAGTCTGAAAATGTTACATGGGAAGTTCTAGAAATAAACAATTCATAAGTTTTAAATTATGCACCATATAGTGATTCCTTTAAATGAAAAGGTGAAAGTTCTTGACTTAATAAGGAAACAAAAAGAAATTATGTGCTGAGGTTGCTAAGATATACAGTAAGAATGAATCTTCTATATGTGAAATTGTGAAGAAGGAGAAAGAAATTAGTGCATCCAAGGTTTCAAGCATCCACTGGGGGTCTTGGAGCATATCCCCTGAGGATAAGGGGGGCTACTCTAGTATGATAATATAGTGGTCAAGCCCTCAGGCTTTGGAGTAATACTACTAGGTTTGAAATCAGTTATCAGAATTATTGGCTATGTGAACTTAGGAAAGTTATCTAAACTCATCCCCTTCCTGTTCCATGAACTGAGGATAATAAGAGTATCTGTTTCATAAAGATTTTGTGTGTATGAAATGGGATAATTTATTTGAAACATTTAAGATCGTTAATGTTAAATGGCCCATGTTAAGTGTGCTCTAAATGTTGGCTGTGTATTGATTTTAGTAGTAGTATTGGATTCAGAGCATGGAAAGACAGCACATTCCCAGGATCATTATTTAAGTCCATTATTGACTGATCATTTGCAGGGCCTGTTCATTTTGATATTGCATGCATTACCCACTGAGTACTGGCACCTTTGCCCACACACTCTCGCTTGCCCCATTTCCACTACCGTATCTCACCTGGATTTTTGCAGTGGTTTCCTAACTGTTCACTTAATTACCAATCTCTTGTCTCCAAACCGTGTTACACACTGTTAATGGATTCGTCTTTCTACCTTTTTGTCGCTTACCCGTGCTGAAACCCTTTATTACCCATTTTTCTACATCAGAAAATCCAAACCCCTACTCTAGTATACTTTTCAACCCTCTTTTGCAATACTTCTCTTCATCTTTAGCTAGCTACCAAAACTGAACTATTCTCTTTCTCATCTTGTATTTACTTGTTTTTGCTCGTGTATTTTTTTTTCCCCTGAAATGTTTCCTCCATCTCTGCCTATCTGAGACAGGACTCCCCAAACTCCCCTCTCCCACCTGAACACAAACACATGCACACAAGCACATACTGCCCACTTGGAAGTAATGACTACTTCTGAAATGGTTCAGGACTTTATCTGAACCACTTTTCATTTTACTTATTATCTTATACCATATATTTATTTTTACTCTGCCTTATTTCGGTATGGACTTGGAGCAACTTACAGAAAGGCAACACAGGAAAAAATTAAAAGTGGGAAAATCTGGAGACAGGGAATATAGATAAGGTGAAGTTAGCGATGGCATTAGTTCCCAAACCATATTATTAGATCCCATAAACTTGTTAGAGGTGGACTACACATTTGGCTCTGAGATTTAGAGCAGCCAGCCCAAGATCAGATATATAAGTCACCCAAGTCTTATAACAAAAACACAGGTTATTCAGGACATGCACAGCTTTTCCTGGCTCTAAAGCAAGATAGCAGAGTCCCCTTTGGACCCATTGTATAAATAGTTACTTTGTGGAAGTATAGTGATTTCTGTCCATGTGGTTTCCTGCATCCTATTTCCAGTGTCCTTGATGGTACGATCTGTGTATGCCCAAAGTACTTAATTGAACTTTGCAAATAAACGCTTGTCCAGTTTAAGTCAATGTTAAAATGTTTGCTTTCTTGAAACTTTGACCTTTTAGTCCTCACTCCACCCTTTGGGACTGCATAAAGTCTAATCCAGAGGTTACAAATTTATGCCCATAGAAGAACAGGGAGGTATTATAAAGGACTAAAGAGCACAGGTAGCAGTAAAGAGTGGTAGGTTTTTTTTAATAATGTGCTAGCCAAATAAAACTGGTAGAGAACAACTTAAGTGCTGCTAGTGTTACCACTTGTAGTAATCCCTTTTCTTCTCACAAAATCATGACCGTATTTCAGAAAATATTTATTAAGTACCTTTACCTTTCAAACCATTTGTTTTCTATCTCAAGTTATTTGGATTCATTTTTGTTTTGGGTTAACTTTACCCCAAAACATATTGAATTGTTTTCAGTAATACTTAAAATCACAATTTGATATTATTAAAGAAAGCCCACAATATGCTGTACATTGTACATATTATTTTTGTAAATATTATATGATTAAATTGAATTATGTTATTTGTTATTTCAGAGTATAAATGGTTTTGAGGTTCAGAAACAAAACTGTTGCTGGCTACTGGTTACACACAAACCTTGTGTAAAAGATGATGTGGTAAGTTTTTATATATAAATTTAGAAAAAAACTTTTAAATTCACAGTTACTTTCAATACATATGAGAAGAACAGAAAATTCAAGGTGATTTATATGAATAATTAAAATAGCTGAAGATTATAAAACCTAGAGAATTTTCATTACTGTGGCTTTTTTGGGTTGTAGGAGATAAAAGTGTGGAAATATAAATATGTATGTAAACATCACTGCTACTCAACAAAACACATCTTCTTGGACACAGCAGAAAGTTCATGGACGTTGGGCACATACTGGATCCAAATTTTGAATTTCAATTCTGCATTTGATAACCCTGTAACCTGGAACAAATTATAAAGGAGAAGGGGATTAGCACTATCTATGTGTTACCAGCTTTACTGATGTAAATAAATTATACATTACTTACCTGGATTGCTTCTTGAAAATCTTCATATCTGTGCTGGGTTATTTAGTTTCCTAAATTAAAGTGTTTAGATGAATTCATGCAAGTTTGTATTAGCCAGGCACTTTTCATCCCTAGTGAATGTAGAAATTCAATTCTGTCTTAAGCAAAAATGACAATTCATTTAACTAGAAAGGACAGGGTGGAGCTAGAATCAGGCATTGCTGATTCAGGTGCTCAAATGTTGTCTTCAGAGTACTCACTCTATCTCCATCTTTGGGTACTGGCTCTCTCTGCAATCTGCTCTTATTTTCTGCTACAGAGCATCTTCTCTGTAGCAGGAATGATAGCTGCCAGCAATCCCAGCAGGAAAAGATTTTCTTTTCCGAAGATTCATCTATCAGTCCCAGAGAAGGACTCTGAGTTGTCCTGCTTGGCTTAGGTGCTATCCTTCTTAGGTCAATTATTTTTGCTAGTGGAATGGGGTAATATTTGTGATCAAATATAGGCACTTGGCACCTCTGATATTCTGATAGGGAGAGTGATGAGTGACACCATCATGACTGACAGTCCTGCCAGAATCAAATGGTGTGAAGGAGGGAGGAAGCTGCCCAGGGATGCTGGGCAGACAGAAATAATAACTGTCTTGTATAAATTCTAGCTCAGACATAATATTACACGTTTCACCAGGTGGTCAGACTGCTGCAGGATAGACTATATAACATGAGTGCAGCCAAGGTCAAAAGACAGGTAAGTGCCATTCAGGGAGGAAACCAGTACATGACTCAAGGTTGCTAAGAACAGATAATACGCACACTAGGCTCAAGTGGTGTAATGTTTATTTACAGCAAGAGGAGAGAGACTATACACAAGATCCAGCCCTTTGCAATGTGTCAGTCCCCATGGTTCAGATCCATCCTGCAGCTGACAAGGGCAGTGTGGCTGCATGTACCTCACTTTGTTCTGCAATAGAAGGACCCCAACCATTGCTCCATGGGGTCTGAAATATAAAAAGCTGGGGACATGCTCAAGGACTCACACATAGCTAAGCAGTTCCAAGGAAAGTTAATGTGTGCCCAATACAGAGGGAACAGGAATATTCTGGTGTGCTTTGAGCTCAGCACATGCAGTGTGATTTCTGAACTTTCCAGGGCTCCTGGTAAACACCGGTGCTCGGTACAGGAGCCTTCTTGGAAACAAGATGTCAGGCTGCACTCAGACCCTTCTGTCATGTTACACGTGTCTCTATTTCAGTCTAACAACAAAGAATTTAAACAGTCCTCCTAGTATAGTTTTTATATACCATATCCCTTAATGAAAAGTCTGTTATGGAATTAAATAGAGTAGTAGTTTACTTTTTCAGTATACAATTATAGTTGGAAAAAATGATATAGAACATTTATGGGAGAACTGGAAGTCAGGTCTTTTAAAAAAACAAGAAAATTAATAAGTTCGTGGTGAAAAGAGAGCCAGAAAAGCAGAGGGGAAAGTTATCGCAGAGTCTGAAAGTTTCTAGGAAAAACTCAAGTTATGTATGGGGTAAAGGGTCACCAAAGGACAGGATCCTACGGTTGTGTCTGATATTATCACTTCGTCTATTTAGATTGTGGCTCTGAAGAAAGCGAATGGTGATGCAGTTTTGAAATTTGAACCATTTGTTCTTCATGTGCAGTGTCGACAGTTGCAGGATGCACAGATTCTGGTAAAATTTTGTAATTATACCTGAATTTATAGGTATGTGGGTAGATTTAATTTTAAGCTTTTAACCTATTAAAATTAATGAACTATTAGTTTATTCAATTAGTTTGTATTTAATTACTTAAATAGTTTACTCAATCTATTTATTTATTTATTTTTCGTATTAGGAAAAAAGAATACTTAAGTATTACTAGCAAAATACAACTCCCAAATTGTGGTTCCTGTTTTTTTTCTTAACTTTTCTATTTATAAATTTTACTTCAGTATTTTATATTTTGTTTTTTCTTGCTGAGCTTTTAGAAAAAATACCATGGAACTACATGTAAAATTAAATGTTTTAAAGAATACTTCCTTTTTCTCATCATTTAAATGAGCATTAGATAATCATCTTTTTAGTCTTACTTCTCTGTCTCCTTGTTCATTTGTATACCTTTTATATGTTTATATATCAAATTAAATTACATTATCAGCATTTGTTCAACAAAAATGCATTGACTCCCAATATGTCAGGCACTAGGGTACAGTGATGAACAAGATTAGAGACTGTCTTGGTGTTTCCCTCGAGGTTTGAGAGAGAGCAAAAACAAACAAGTGAACAGGCAAGTAAAGAAAATAACCACAAGTTGCAAAATGTTCTAGAAAAGAATAAAACAAGCTGATAAAGAGAATAGTGTGAAGGGCAGCCCACTTTAGGCTTCTCTGAAGAGGTTTCCATAAGCTAAAAGGTAAAGGAACAGAAAGAGCTGGGTGTGTAACTGGGAAAATGAACATTCCAGGCAGATGGAAAAGTATATACAGAGTTTCTGATGGAAGAAAGAGCTTGTTGTATTCACAGAACGGAAAGAAGAGCAGTGGATCTAGAGCTGTGGTCTCCAACCCCTGGCCGTAGACCCGTGCCAGTTGGTGGCCTGTTGAGGGGGCGGGCAAGCAAGGCTTCATCTGTGTTTGCATCACTGTGTGGGCTCTGCCTCCTGTCTGATGAGCAGCGGCATTGGATTCTTACAGGAACATGAACCCTACTAGGGACTACGCATGCGAGGGATCTAGGTTGCATGCTCCTTGTGAGAGTCTGATGTCTGATGATCTGGGGTGCAGCTGGGGCGGTGGTGCAGGCGCTGGGGAGCGGCTGCAAGTGCAGATTGTCATTGGCAGGTTTGACTGCACAATGAATGTGGTGCACTTGGGTCATCCCGGGATCATACTCCTCACCTGTCCATGGAAGGATTGTCTTCCGTGAAGCCGGTCCCTGGTGCCAAAAAGATTAGGGACCACTGATCTAGAGGGAAGAGCGGAAAGAGAAAAGGTGAGAGAGGGAGGCTGGGGCCAGATCAGTTAGGGCCTTGTAGGGTAAAGATTTGGATTGCTTTCTGAGTGCAAGGAGAAGGTATTGAAGGGATGGTTATAAGCAAAGGGTAGCTTCGTAGGTTTGTGTTCTGAAAAACACAGTTCTGCTCCAGCGTAGTGACAGGAGTGCAGTAGGTGGAAGATCAGTTAGGAGTAGTTGGCAGTAATCTAACTAGGAAATGGTAGTGGCTTTGCCTAAGGTGATTGCACTGAAGAAGGTGAGAAAGGGATAGATTCAAATATATTTTAGTGTTTCAATCAACAGACTTATAAGGTTGATTGGGGAAGGACAACAACCAAAGGTAGGAGGGGAAAAAGGAATTAAGGATAACTCCTTAGGTCTGGCTTGAGACCCTGGATGTCTGGTAATATCTGTCACCAGATAGGAAGTACCAAAGTTGAAGGGATGGAAATCAAGAATTTGAGTCACATGTTAAGTGTGAAATGTCTTTAATACACCTGTTTTAGTCTGCTAGGGTTGCCATAACAAAATACCACAGACAGGATGGCTCAAACAGCAGAAATTTACTTTCTCCCAATTCTGGAGGTGGGAAGTCCAAGATCAAGGTGCCAGTGGGGTTGGTTTCTCCTGAGGCCTCTGTTCTTGGCTTGTAGACAGCCACCTTCTGCCTGTTTCCTCTCATGTCTTTTCCCCTGTGTATGCACATCACTGGTGTCTCTTCTACTTCTTATAAGGATGCCAGTCCTGTTGTTTTAGGGCCCTACCCTTAGGACCTCATTTAACTTTAATTACCACCTTGAAGGCCCGATCTCTAAATATAGTTACATTGGGGTTTAGAGAGTCAACTTAGGAATTTTGAAGTCCTATACACACAATTCAGTCCATAATAACACCTAAATGAAAATTTCATATAGGCATTTGGGTAGAAGTCTGAAACTCAGGGGAGACATCTGGACTAAAGATAAACACTGGGGAGACACCAATACAAAGTTAGTATTTAAAGCCATGAGCCTAGATTAAATCCCCTGTGAAAAAAGTACAAAAGGAAAAGGGGAGAGGGCCCAAGGAACACAAGCATTTAGAGATGTTCTTCAAAACGTGGTGTTTAAGAATTGAGTGGTTCCCAGCTTTGGTCCCTGCTTCACGAACCCTGAACTTTGATCTAACCTTATTTTAGTCTCTCATTATACCATATCACATCACTGATGCTGCTGAAACCTTTAACTCTCTCCTATTTCTGTACCCTTGTCCTGTTCTCTGTGCTAATCCTGATTTAGCTCAGCCATGCTCATCTCTGGGCCAAAGTCTCCATGGAAGTTTAACATTTCAGGGAGCAAATGGCAGTGGAATTAGAGAAACTGAGAAACTCACTCATTCATAACTGTTTTTTGAGCACATACAGTGTGCTAGGCAAATCTGCTAGGTATTAGGGAAAAGTAGACAAACACAGATAATGTCCCTCCCCTAAGGAGATTATATTTTTATTCTAAGGGAGGGAAACAGACAATAAGTACGTAGACAAGCAAAATTTCTCATTGTGAGAAGTGCTCTGAAGGAGATAAGCAGGACACTCTGCTAGAGTGTTGGGAGAGGGGAGCATTTAAAGAGGGCAGTTAGAGAAGGCCTTTTTGGGGAGATAGCGTTCAATGGAAACAAGATGAATGACAAGAAACCAGACACGGAAAGAGCGGTCCAGGCAGAAGAACAGCAAAAGTAAAGAAATTGGTACAGGAAAGGTTTGGAGTATTCAAAAAACAGAAGAGAAGCCAGTTGAGCTCAGAGAATAAGGCAGGGGCCAGGTCAAATAGAACATTGTAAATCATGGTTAAGATTTTGGAGTCTATCCCTGGCTGGTCTGTAAGAATGATTTGGAGGGAGCAAGAGTGAAAGCTGAGACTAATTGGGAGACTCCTCCAGAAGTCAAGGAGAGAAGTGATGGAGACTTGAACTGAAGTAGGCAGTGGGTATGGCAAGAGCTAGTTGAATTTGAGGTGTATTTTTGGGAGTAAAATCAATAGGAATTGGGTGTAGGGGATGAAGGAGTAGAAAGCATCAAGGCTATCTAAGTTTGGGCAGTTGGATGGGTGGTGGTATCATTTACTGAAATTAGAAACACTGGATGTGAGAGAAATAGATTTATAGAAGAATCAGTTTATATAGAGTCAATTTCAAGGCAGAGGTCTGAACTGGAAATGGGATTCATCAAAATATACGTGGTATTTAAACCAGGGAAACGGATAGAATCTCAAAAGACGAGCATGTACTTAAAGCAAGGTTTCGTAACTTCAGCACTGTTGACATTTGGGGCAAAATAATTCTTTGTGCAGGGCCTGTTGTGCACACTGAAGAATGTTTAGGCAGCATCCCTGGCCTCTACCCATTATTTGCTAGAGGTACCCCCACCCTGCCCCCCACTTGTGAAACCTAACAACAGAAAATGTCTGCAGACTTTGCCAAATGGCTCCTGAGGCTCAAAATTCTTCCTGCTTAAGAACTACTGAGCTAGAGAAAAAAAGGACCCACATCTGGTCCCCAGGGCTCTCTGACAGTTAGAGGCTGATAAAACAAATAACTTAACAAAGTCACTCCAATAAGATCAGAATGCTTGTGCTTTATATGCTTTTCTCATATTATTTCAAGAGAGGTTTTTTCAGAGATAGAAAGGACACAGATAATCTCTGTTCTTATTTAGAAAAAACATTTCACTCATTTAAAGGAGAGATTTTGTTTGTTTTGTTTACTTTTATATAGCATAGTTACAAGAATGATTTTTTTTTGTTATATTCTGCTTTATGGAAATAATGACTTGCCAAATGTTTCTGTTCATTATTGAATTCTAGTTTTACTCTTTCTCAGTGACACTTCCTTAGTTCATATTTCAGTATTTCTAACAGGAATTTGATCAAAGCCCCTTTTAAGCATAGTCCACATTGGTTAGCCAAAAACCTTAATATGTTTTGGGTTATATATGTTTCTTCAGTTTGTGGAGCTAAACAGATGATCTGATTAGCAGAGTATCGATATGTAACAAGTTGTATTTTCTTACAGCATTCGGTGGCAATAGATTCTGGTTTCAGGAACTCTGGCATAACGGTGGGAAAGAGAGGAAAGACTATGTTGGTAAGATACCTTTTGGCAAAAAACAGTTCTTTGAGCGTGAAGTGATCCAGAGTATTGAGTAACCTAATGAGACTTCAAATTAGACTCCTCCTTTAGTGTCTCCCTACTCAAGCCCTCCTGCCATCCCCTTACTCAGAAACCTTCAATGACTTAATCCTTCCTTCAAGGCAAAGTCCAGAGTTTAGGTTTACATTTGCTGTCTTATTTTATAATTCTCTTCCCTACTTACTTTTAACCTGATTCTCGACTCTGTGCCCTCCTCACCCTAATTAGTCAATGCCCAATTTAATAAGCACCATGATGTGGTCTAAAGTACTCTATGTTGATACCGGCTGCACCGCAGCTGTGCTGTATAAACTTGGGCAAGCTCCATAAATCCCTTAGGGTCTGAATTTTCTCAGCCATATCAGGGGTCCAGCAAACTACTGTTCTAGAGCCAAGTCCAGCCCACACTAGGCCAGATCCCCTGAACTTATTTGATTAATTATTGTCTATGGTTGCTTTTGTGAGACAATGGCAAAATTGAGTAGTTGTGACGGATACTGTATGGCTAGCAAAGTTAAAAATATTTGTTATCTGTCCTTTTACAGAAAAAATTTGCTAACCGCAGGACTAGATGATCCATAAGGTCCTCCATAAGTCCCACATTCTTTCTAAGTCCTGGCCAAGCTAACTCCTAGTTATCGTGCCCTATTCAGATCTCCTGTAGTATTTACTGTTTGGCATAACATGTATTGTATGTTTTTGAACTATTTCAGATTACCCTCTATTCTAGCTCCCTGGACTCTCCTATTTTCTATTTTTAATAAATAGCCTATTTCCCAAATTGAGGTGGATTACGAAAGAAGACACCTACAAAGCATGCCAAATAGAAAATCAAAGCCTGTCATGGCTGGTTTTGACCCCCATCTTACTCCCTGCTCCATCCGGTGGCCCATGTGGGAACAGAGCCATTCTTTCACCTTCCTCTCCTCTGTCTTCCTTATTCACTTACTCACAGGTCCGGTCTTGCTGCTTTTCTCCTCTGACACCTGCCTCCACCCCAGGCCCTCTGCCACTGCCCCTACTTCAGCTGTCATCCTCCCTCAGCTCAGTCTTTACAATTGTCTTCTGACTGGTCTTCCTGCTGGAGGTCTTCTCCTTGAATCCCTCCAACCAATACTGCCAGAATCCCCTTTTAAAAAATCAGGATCTACAAATATTCACCCTTATATTCAAGGCTTTACCCCATACTGTTTTTTTTCTACTCATATATGTCCATCTCCCACTTGCATACTCATAGTCCAGCCAAATGGAACTATTAGTTGTTTCCCAAATGTATCGTGCTGTTCCATGTCTCCATGCCTGTAGATAAGTTGTTCCTCTGGCCAGAATGCTCCCCTCCCCGTTTTTATTTTTGGTGAACTCACACTTGTCTTTTAAAATCCCAATTCAAATGCTGCCTTTCCCATAAATTGAGACTCCTCATACTCAATTATAGTTGCTCCTCTTCCACATTTTCTTAGCATTTTGTGTATGTGTGTTTCTTCTAACACCTATATTATATTGTAATTCTTTGTTCACCTGTGTATTTCTGGTTCTAAAGTGTGAGCTCTTAAACTCAGGGACCATGTTAAATTTATTCTTTATATTTCACAGGGGGCCTAGAATGTTGCAGATGCTCAGTAAAGTTTATTGAATGAATTTTTATTCCTCATAATAATTGCTTTTGCAGAGTTTTTATTGTTGTCCTTAACCTCTATCCTTGGATAGAGGAACTAACCTTGGATCTACTTGGAACATGTTAACTATTTCATCAACAGGGTTGCTAAGATTGTCAACCCTGAAACATTGAGAAGCAGCCACTGTGTGTGATGGGGGGGGGGGCATGGTTTAATCTTACGACCATACTTGGTTCAAGCAGCACTAAGAGACTCTTGGGCATCCAGTCCCTTTTGATTTTCTCTTGAGGTTTCTGTTCAGGTTTCATTTATTTCTTTTCTTTAAATTGTGTATTAAAGCTTTCTAAGCTATAGCGAGATTGAAATTGTTAAAAGTTATTGGATTCTTTGATATTATCTGCTTCGCTGAAAAACAGTGTATAGAATGCCTTTCTTTAGAAATGACTATATGATGGGAAAATCTATTTAATCTCTTTTGATTCAACTGTGTCCAGTTAAATTATATCAAAACACAAATGTAAATGCTGTAATAGAACTAAACTGTGTTCAAACACAGCCCCGATTGGGACTTTTCTTCAGGTATTTTCAGCGTCTCTATTATATAAGGCTTTATATCTAAATTGTTTTTTCCTTGTAGGCTGTCCGAAGTACACATGGCTTAGAAGTTCCATTAAGCCATAAGGGAAAACTGATGGTGACAGAGGAATATATTGACTTCCTGTTAAATGTGGCAAATCAAAAAATGGAGGAAAACAAGAAAAGAATTGGAAGGTATATTAATTGGATATTTCTAGGTTATTCTTACATGCCTAGATCATCCTTGAAAATATTAATGCATACTATCTTCAGTTTATAATGCCAACTGCTTATCAACTTGTTCCTTATTATGGATAATAAAAAGATGATCAAAGTAATAGATGAGAGTGGGCCAGACTGGGATGGGCATAAATGGATCACAGGGGGAGGTGGGACACGTGACCACCAGGAACAGGCATAAAGGAGAGAAACATAATCGTTCAGGAAGGATCCCAGCAGCCACAGAAACCATAACTGATCCAGTGGAAGGCAGCCAGGGAAGAGGTACACACCGCCCCTAGGTGTGACCTGCCAGAGATTACCTAGAGTCTCCTTTTGTCTGATAAATGCTTTACACCTTTGGCTAGGCTAGTTCAATGCCAACTCCTGTCATGGATTAGATCTAGAATTGCCATAATGTTCCAAGTAGGAAGGTGTGGCTATCAGTTCACATCTTTATACTTCTCTTGTCCTTAGACTTCACCTCCTGGCAAATGAAACTCTTATATTACTTTCTTTTTCAACTTTTACCCAAGGATAGAGTTGATGAAGATAATGCCACTGACGTGCCATCAACAAAATATATAGTTCTCCATCCTTAACTGTTACTTTCCTTATTCAAGACCATTGCCGTAGCCTCATTAGCTGATCCTCTAGGAGGCTTCTAGGATGTCTCTCTGCTAAGCCATTCTTCACATTATACTCTGAATCATGATCGTAAAGTGCAAAGGAATCCTATTGTTTAACTTGCCTGCTTAAAATTCTTTAATACCTAAAACTGTTTTTGAAACAGCCAAGGCCAGAAGTGCCCATGGTAGCAGTACAGCTTGGTAGAAAGAGGTAGAACTCGGCTTCAGAGGCAGAACTGGATCTAAATCCTATTTCTACCCAGTTACTCAACCTGGTTCAACCAAGTTGCTCAACTCTCTTGGCTTTATTTTTCTTATCTCTAATTTCAGGGAAATACTGATCTCAAAGAATAATTATTATATTCATTAGATAGCATATATAAAATGACATGGCCCTGACCCTGTCATATCATAGACTCTCAGGATAGGATAGCCCTTCTCCTTCTTTGATTCATGGAGAATAAACCTGTAATCATACCAATACCATCCAGACTTTCTCAGCTAAGATTCCTCATTTGAACCACAGAATTCCCAAAGTTATTTGAGTGGCTATTTTCTTAATTCTCCCAATGATAGTATATAACATGTATCATTTTAGATACGTTAGAGAGGAGTTAATTCATTACATATAATGGATGTCTTAGGGTATTAGAACATAATTTTCTAGTCAAATCTAGTCGAGAAAAACTGACCACAAAAACCTGGGCACAAAATGCTTTAGGCAAGTATAATTAAAGTAATGATTTCAAGTAAGCAACTACTGAGCACCTAGCCACTCCACCAAACTTCAAAGTTTGAACTATACATAGGCACTTATTGGTACCATTTGAAAAGTACATTTGTTATCTACATTTGTTAGATAGTAATCCAGTGAGACTGTTTGCTAAAACATAGGAGGTAGCCAATCAGTTTTTCTCAGTTTCCTTACTTGAATTTCAACAAGCTTATAAATACAGCCCAAGATCAACTAACTATACACCTGGTGAAGTTAATTGAGCCACGTTCACCAACTATACAATCAAATTATGCTTTAAATCCATTGACTCAAAAATATGTTTTGAGATTATAATGTGCATGCTGCCATCAAGAGCCATGCTCATCATATAAAATCAGGGAAAAATTAAAGAAGGGTAAAAAATGTCTTAAGATACTGATTAGAAGATTACTTGTGAATTCAGAAAGTGTGAACAAATTAGGAAGCTCCTTTGGGAACAGCTGTACCTTCAACCAAATGCAAAGAAAGAGTTACTCTTCTGAGGTTGAAAAGAGAAAAAATAAACACTGGGGATGATGAGTTATGCAATCAGGCATTGAGTACTAAAATTGGTTTGTCATGGGACCGAAGTTTCACAATTCAAGTATCTGTAGCAAGAGAATTTTTAAAACTCAAAAAATCCTAATGAGTAACATTTCAGCAACAAGATGTATTCTGGAAACTTAAAAATCAAAGGCAAAATATTTTTAATAGAAAAAAGGTTTTGTTTATGAAAAACAATTTTCAAGCCCACTTAGTGAGAAGAGGCTTATTTAACAGGGACAGTTGGGTAACTATTGTTTGGAGGTCTGTGCAAGACAAGGCCAGCTGATCTGGAGTCTGGAAGAGACAGGGACTGACACCAGACACTGAAAAATAATTCCATGCATAACAATTTCCATTGAAAAAATATGAAATTTGGAGACCTATTTACTAACTATAAGAGGAGGCTATCTTTGTATCTTTTAATAAGAGGCCAGGACATAAGTCAGATGAAATCACCATTTGGCTGTGCATAGAGAAAAATTAGCCATATTCTTTTTTTCACCAACAGTGTAATAAGAAAATGTTAAACAAAATGTAGACTAAAAGGGCTGAATATATTGATGTATTGTTGATAATAATAAAGCAAATCTGAAAGAAAAAGTAATTGGATCTATTTCCACCAGTTGATTTTCCTTTTTTTTCCTCTTTTTTTATGGCAGTAAAATACACATAACTCTAAATTTACCATTTTAACAAGTGACATTAAGTACGTTCACACTATTATGCAGCCATCATCACTATCCATCTCTGGAACTTTTCATCATCCCAAACTAAAACTGTGTACCCATTAAACAATAGCTCCCATTCCCTATACTCCCAGCCCCTGGTAACTACTATTCTGTTTTTTCTCCCAACCTAACTCACGTATACATACACACTAGAAATACCTGTTATCCTAACATATAACACATAGTAGAAGCCCAATAATTGTTTATTGAATTAATCATTAAAGATAAAGGAGCTTCAAAGTTACACATTATACTGAGTTTCCAAAGGCAGAGACAGTTTTTTATTCATCATTATATTCTGAGTGTCTGGCGTGATAGTAATGGTTAATAAATGTTTACTAAATTTAGTTGACTGGCTTTTTTTAATAAATAGTGATACTTTTAAGCCTTCCAAGCATTAGGGTGATTATTCTGGAAGACGTGTAAGATGACTTAGAGATGCAGTGAGCAGGAGGAGGCCCTTGCTACATAATCTAGGTGAGAAGTAACAGGACCCTGAGTAACAAGATGAGTGGAGTGACAGTACCGAATATGCACCGGACGTGACACATTGGAAATGGGGGTAATGCAGACAGGAGGAATAAAGAATAACAGATGCCTTCGACGCCTCATAGTTGCTAGTCTTACCATTTCTAAAAATGGGACTAAAGCAGCTAAATAAATCCCTCACACATTTCCCTATATATTTAAGATCAAAGAAGTAAATAATACAAAGTAAAAACATGTATTTTATTTTCTGATAGTATCTCATTGGATATACCCTCCCCTTCTTTTTTTCCCCTCCTAATTCCTCTCTCATCGCATAGCCAGCTCCCATTCATCCTTGCAGTTCAGCCCAGGCATTGAGTCTTTTTCCAAAGAGCATGCCATGATCTCAGTTAGAGCAATGTGCCGTCACTGTTCTCCTAATTTATCTTATCTTTTTCATGGCATGTTACATGTGGCTTTACAGTTCTGCAGCTCCTACTAAACCATGAGCTCCTTGAAGGCATAGACCATAGAGTACAACTCTTACCTGTGTTTCCAGTACCTGGCACAGGGCCTATCACATACATGTTTTTAATTAAAATGCTACAGTTTACTCAGTTAAAATTCAAATATGTAGTATGTCAGAATAGCTTTCTTTGATATTTGTGAATGATAGACTTCTGAAAGGGTATGAAATTATACTTCAATGCCTTCAATTCTATGCTCCTGCTTCAGAAGTCAAAGAAATTCCAACTTTTTATTGCAAATGGTTCTCTAACCTTGAAAAACAAGAATTCATTTTCTCGGGGATGGCCTGAAAAGTTCTATCTTATGAACAGAACTAAGTACAAGTTGTCCTATGGCATGATAATCTTGACTACAGAGGTAGAAAAACTGAAGATAATTTTATTTTTTTTTCAACGTAGGGAAAAAACGGTAGCCTGAACACACCTTTTATACTCAGAGCTCTTTTTGTTGCCTGTGAGAGCTGAGAAAATACACTTAGAGAATCAGGCATTAGAATGCTGTGTAAAGGGTCACAGTATGAGAGAGAACATGTAATCGGAAAACAAATTTCTCATTTACTAAGACAGTTTCTCAAAGGACTTTTAAAATTTCCTTAAAAAGTAAGGGGAAACTAGTATTTGATGTTTTTATTCTTGACTTTCATCAGGAAAGGATCTTTGTTTCATTTTGCCAGTTGTTTTTTGGTACCTTAAGGATGTAGCTTTGAATTCTTAGGGTTTTTAACAGTAAAGTAGGGCATTTGTTCTTCTTTAATTACTTTTTTATGTGATTGATAAGACATTTTTTCACAAGCTGTTAATTCTCAGTGATCATAAAAGAGCAATTTAATCTTATATTTCATATTCTAGGAATAAAGTATAATCCAGAAAAAAGACCTGGTTGCCTAAGCCTAAAGTGCAGGGTGGGTGAAGAATGGTGTAAGATGAGATTGATTATATCATAGGCATCTTACAATCACATAAGGCATCTTACAGTCATGCTCGGATTTATGTTTTAGGTGACATAAATCTAGGGCATTCTAAATAGGCTGTGGGGAAGATAGGAAGAAAACCGATCACTGAAGTTACCTAAGATGACTAGAAAGAAAAGTGAAGCCAAGTGTAGAAGTTTTCATCAATGTGAAGTACCAAACAGAATATTGGTAGATGACATGAGAGGCAGACAAAGGAATTTAGTCTGGCAAAGTGTTGATGAGCTATTTGATTTCTGACCTCATCTCTCATCTCTGTGGTCTCAGGATGTGGAAAGAATAAGCAATCTCCGCTTGGGAGGAATGAGGGGAGATGGTGTCTGTGAGGGAGCTGGGGTCCAGTCAAGTAAGGACATAAAGGGTGCATTAAATGAAAAGGTAGTTACCATGGAACAAGGCCTAAAAAGTTATGTGACAATGTTTCTTTTTCCTTTTTCCTTTTACTGTACCTCCCTCTTTGAGACTGATTGATTTATTCATTGAAGAAATATTTATTAAGCATCTATTTTATACTAAGCACAGTACTAGATATCAAGATATATACTTGTGAGTACATAAGTTCTTGAAATATGGCCGGGATATGTAGTGATCATGATGTGTGTACATTAGAGTTGTGTGGGTTATTTGGGGTTTTAGAATTTTAGAGGCTTTGCAAGTAAAAGTTAGACTGTTGATTGAATTAAGAAAGATGAAAATTGGTTCAAATAGCAATCTATTCTGTAGATGTAAAAAACTTCCTGTCACAGTCTCCCATGATAATAAGATGTAAAAACAAGATGAGATCTCTACAATGGCAAGGGAGTTCTCAATTTCCATATCATTCTAATTTGGGAACTCAGAAAATATATCCATAGTTACCTTTTTTATTCAGTAATTATTAATATTCAACATACTTTTGCTGAGTTTGCAAGCACTGTACTACATGTTAAGAATATAACAAGGCAAATGTATAAGGTCCTTGGTCTCATGAAGTCTATATTTCTAAAAATGGTCGTTACTGAGAACTAACTCTGTGCCAGGCACTGTGCTAGGTACGTACATATATGTAACACTCTGACAATCCCACTAGATACCAAATAATAATCTTCAGTTTTATAAATAAAGAAATCAAGACTCGGTGAAATTAATTGGAATTAGCTAACCTCAGCTTTCCCAATGGTACACTAGTATCAAACACATGCAACATACCATGCTACCTGCTGTTTTTCAACATATACCAAAGGCTACTGTGTCAGGCAGAGTATTGTGTTAGGTGTTAACACGGGTGTAGAAAAGAAACGAAGCCCGGTTTTCAGGGAGCTTACAGTTTATTATATCACAAAATTAAAATGAAAACTCCAATAGAAAAATGAATAAGGGAAAGGAACAATTTACATTTTAGAAAATTTCTAATAGCTAATAAACAAACGAAAAACATTCAATTTTACTTGCAAACAAATGAAAATTAAAATAATGGGGTACCATTTTCACCCATCAAAGTACAACACGTGTTTTGATGGTAATATGCAATGTGTGGGTGAAGTAGTCTCTCTCAAGTGCTTCAATTAGAAGCATATTTTTTTAAACATCCATTGTGGAAAACAGGCAGTGTTTATCAAGAGCCTTAAAATGTTTATAGCCTTTAACCATATAATTACATTTCTAGGTGTTTATCCTAAAGAAATGAAAGATCACATCATTTTCAAAAATGTTTATGATGTTTTTATTAGAGAAAATTTGAAAATAAAGGGCAATCTAGATGACATAGTGTTATACTACCACTAAAAAGTATTATTTTGTAGTTCATTTGTTGATATGGAAAATGTTCTTAATAAATATTATTAAATAAATGAAAAAATGTAAAACTTTTTATGTAATATTCTGTGTAAAAATAATAGTTATATGTGTGCATGTATGAATATATTAATTCAGACTACATTAATAAACTGGAAAGAAGTAAAAATATTGAGAGTAGTTATTATTTGGAGGTGATCTGTATTTGTAACTTAATATATTTTCCAAATTCTCTAAAATGAGCCTCTATTACATTTATGGTATTTTTGTAAAGAATGATAATTTCCATTCTTTTTTACCATCTTATATTTAACCCCTACATCGGGGATGGAAATTGAGGTAGGTTAGAAATTGTCAAGAGGTGATTCCAGCCGAATTTTCAGAACCGTTCTTAACTGAAAACACATTTCTTTTCCTAACTAAATAATGATAAAGGCAAGAGGCATACCGTTTCTTTGATATATTTTATATTTATAAGGGTGATGTGAGACATTGTCAAATTTACATAATTTATAAGTTCTGGGTGTATTTCAGTCATTCCGTTTTGGAACACACAGATATAACAGTAGTATTTCTTTTTTTACAGGTTTTACAACTGTCTACAGCATGCTTTGGAAAGAGAAGCTATTAGTAATTCACATCCCAAGATCAAAGAGAAAAATAACCCATCATATACTCGTAAGAAAAAAAGAAACACAGAAAAAGCACATGGCAAATCTATCACAGAAGAAAATAATGAAGAACTTGAAAATGATGATGATGACAATCCAGGAATCAGTGTTGCCATCTTTCCTGAAGATTACTAAGATTTGGTTCTGAAGTATCTTGGTAGAATAATGTTTCTAATAGATTTTATAAAGCTGCTCTTTATAAGAGTATTTTAGTTTGTTGAGTGTATTAGCTATTCAGAAAAACAAGATTTAATTTTTCTATATTTTAGAGAAACTAATCTTACAAACATAGATGGCTTTTAAAAATAGCTTTGTATAATGTTTGTTTATTAAATACTGCCTTTTTAAATTACATAGAGATTCATTGCAAAAGTAAAATTACTGTTTTTTAAGCCTCTTTTTTTTTTATTTCTTTCAATTTTTTCTGCAAAACAGGAAAACTAAGTATAATACCCTGTCAAGAGACCCTTAACATCAGGGACATTTGAGTAAAAATTATAGTAATATTTTTCTTATTTTTAAGTTTGAAACCTCCAGCCTTTATAGGAAGGGTCAGAGTTTGCTTCTGTTGCCATGAAATCCAATAACAAGTTTTTTCCTCTCTTTTCCCTTTGTGGATAAAACAACTGATACCCTTTTTGTTCAAGACAAAATACCTGAACCTTCTCTCCCCATTATTTCTCACAAAGCGGAGCTTGCCACTGGCACACCCTCTGAGAAACACGTGGGCATAATTTTTTACTAAGCCTGATCAGAAATGATAACTAAGGGCATGATGGTGTTTGCTTCTAGTCCCAGCTACTTGGGAGGCTGAGATGGGAAGATTGCTTGAGCCCAGGAGTTCGAATCCAGCCTGGGCAACATAGTGAAATCTGTCTCTTAAAAAAGAAATGATAAGTAAGACACAGGCATCCTAATAGACAGAACAAATGTGCTATGGAAAATGGCAAGGATCAAAAAAGCCTTGGGTTTCAATTCTGACTGCTCCAAAGAAGTTGGAGGTCCTTGAGCAAATCACTTAATTTCCAAGGGCTTTCATTTCCTCTTCTACATAATAGTAATTCTAATACCTGCCTTATTTATACCGTAGGAATGTTGACGGTAAAAATATGAAAGCATTTACTAATAGACCATTATGCATATATGTTAATATTTATTTTCATTATAAAAT